CCACCCAAGACATTCTGATTTGACTGGGAGTGAGCTTGGGCATCAGGATTTTTTTAAAGCTCCCCAGGTGATTCTGACAGGCAGCCAGGGTTGAAGGGTTAAGAACCAGGAATCCTGCCGAGTTCTGGGAAGAAAAAACAACAAAAAGGCAAGAGCTAGGAGATAAAAGCAAGCAGCCCAGGAGCAACAAACGCAGCATACCTTCCCCGGGCACCTGCTCAGCGCCGCGTCCAAGCTCGCCCAGGAACAGGAAGAGGAAAAGACACAGTCTCCATCCTTCCCACCTGGGGAACTCACCAATCGCAAAGTCCTCGGTGCTTCCCAGTCTACTGATTCCCTCTGGAGAAGGTACACATGGGTTGGGTTGGGTTTTGAAATAGCTCCTGGATGATTCTGTTGCCCACCATTTTCCTCCGTCTCTCTTGTTCCCCCTTTAAACAAATTCTCAGGGTTAGGGGGACATGATTTGTAATTCTTGCTGGTTTCTGTGGGAGTAAATACTCCCACCATGGCCAATGTCAAGCTATAACATGGTTTAACAATTGGCTTGCAAGATTCCTGAATATTAAAAGCAGGCTCTCACGAGCCATTAAGAACTTGCCACCGCATAACCAATACCCCACACTCCCCTCTTCCCACTGGTTAGAAACCACTACATTCCAAGAAAATGTAGAATATTAAAAAAAAAAAAAAGCAGCACCTTTCATCAACTAGAACACCATTACTAGTTGGTATTGTGATTAAACTAATTCATTAGTTGCTTAAGCCCACTTTATGCAGATAACTCTTAGAGAAAACTTGGTAAATAAACACTTGTGGGAGAGAAATCAGGCTGTCCAAAGAGGCAGTGAGGACAACGGGCCTCCTGCCACGTCCAAATGGTAGGACTTCACCACAAGGTCACCCTAATACTTGCTTACTTATGTGTCTGGAAATCTGGGGCAAGATAAGTCTCTCCTATGCTAAAACACTGGCATTCTTAACTTTCATACCTCGAGCTGATTATGAAGTTACATCATACTTGTTATTCATGACTTGAAAGCATTTTTACGTGTTTTTTTTTTTTCTTGTAAAAGAGATCGATAATTTTCAGAAAGAGAGGCAACAAGGGAAAAGAGGCATTTTGGAATCACAAAACTCTGAGTTAGCACAAGACTGGTTTCCCAGGTGGGTGAACATGGACAAGATTCTTAACCTCTCCAGACCTCGATTTCCTCATCTGTAATACTAGAGGCCCCCTGGTGGTCAGCACACGTCATAGCAAGCGGTCAAACTCCTGAGGGGACACTTTGCATATTAGGCTTTTGTACATATAGATGGGAGAAAACACTGTGACTTCTGCCTCACAGACTGGGTGTAGGTGGTTTCAGTTGGCATGCACTAAGCATCCACCCTGTGCCAGGGTCTGCACTGGGCACGAAGAACGCTAAGACAAGGAAATCAAAGCTCCTGCCCTTAAGAGGCTCCAAGTCCAACCTCTGGAACAAAAATCTAAACAAGAGAACAGGACCATCTCTTAGCTAGGTTTCTGTACTTGAGCATTAGTATGATATCTGACACTCTCTAATACCTTGATAAAAATTTGTCATGTGTAGTAGCTTTCTTGTTGGGAAATAAATGAAATGTTGGCCTTAATATTTCAATTAAGAGGCCTCTCCAAGCCTGGTCCCTCTGCACCGGAAACTGCTCGGGCGGAATACCATTGTTGAGAAAGAAACAGACGCAGTTACAAAGTGCTCAGCTGCAAGCTGCGGACTCACACTTACCTGGTGAACCATGAAGGTGAAGGCGAGGACTCGCGGAAACACAAGGTCTGACAGGAGAGGGCGCCCTAGGCGCTGTTTCACTCCGAGGTCACTGTCGTCAGGGTACCAGTAGGTCAGCTTCCAGCTGGCTCCCGTCCTGGTACCAAATGTGGTTGCAACAGTGCGAGGCCACACACCCCAATCTTACATCCACCTTCCAAGTAAAAAGCCTGGGATTCCCTCTGCACCCGTGCACTGAAGTCACATGCTTACCCCCACCCAATCATGTGGCCAACAGATGGGCTGCTCTGATTGGCTTAGCTTAAGTCACATGCTCCTCACCTGGCAGTCAGCCCTGGACCACATCTGATGCCCATAAAGAAACTGGGCGTTGTGGGGAAGGAATGAGGGGAAATGGAGGCAGGAACGGTAGGTTCCACCTGGGGAATGTTAGCTGGTACTGAGCATGTCTCGAGGTTTAGGGGCGGGACAGAGGGTCGCAGGCAAGGTTCATACCTGGTCTTCATAGGCTCCCCTAGCTACCCTGTGCCAGCACCGCCTCTTCAAGCCCAGCGTGTGGAAGAGGGTTCACCTGCAGCTCTGACTTTCTGCCTGTGTGATTTGGGGCACATCCCTTTCCCCTCTATAAGCCAGTTTCCCTGTCTGTACCTCATCAGGTTTTTAGGATTAGTACTGCTCAGTGGTTCTCAGTTGCAACCAATAGAATGAATGCTGCCTAATTAAGCAAATGATGCCGAAGCCCCAAGTATATATGAAGACATTGGGGTAGTAGAGACTTTGGCAACCTGAAGGAGTAGGCCCCCCTGAAAAAAATTGCATTCAAGAAAAATCTTACATGCTGTGCTGGCCAAACAAGATGTGTCTACTGGCACCATCAGCCTAAAGGCCTCCAGTCTGCACCCCTCTCTACTGGAAAGAGCCCAAGTTCCTGCCAGCCCAGGGGATCTCAGACTCCAGTTTAGAAGCCCAATTCTGGGCCATGGGCTAAGTCAGTGGTCAGCAAACTGCAGCTCGTGAGCCACATGCGGCTCTTTGGCCCCTTGAGTGTGACTCTTCCACAAAATACAGACTTCTGTGCATGGGCCATGAAGTTTCAATCACACTGTATATGCGCACCCGCACGTGGTATTTTGTGGAAGAGCCACACTCAAGGGGCCAAAGAGCCACATGTGGCTCGCGAGCCGCAGTTTGCCAACCACTGGGCTAGGCGTTTAAGACTGTGTCTGGTTCTTTCCCAAGCCTGCAGCCCCCAGTACAGGGCCCAGGACAGAGGCACCTCAGAGCGCCCCCAAGCAGGTCTAAGGTCCGAGGTGGCTCAGAGACATTTGGTAGCCCATCAGGTCACACAGCTCACCAATGTGTGATCCCATGGACATCTGGTGATGGGCCCCTGGTCACAGGCTCCCTCAGGAGGTGAGGGCGGTAGATAATCAATCATTAGCTGAAATCTCACAAGACTCAGAAACTTTTCCCTCTGCCCCAAAGTCACTAACTGGCCACCACGTCTCGCACTTCTCCATTTACAGCTTTCCAACACACCACCTCCACCTTCCCACCTCAAGAACATTGATCTCAGGCCTCGTCTCCTTACTAATGTGCTGTCCACCGAATCCCTACTGGCTGGGTCTGAGTGATCCCAAGGGGAGGGCCACATTCTGGTCATTTCTTGGTCTCCAGTTCTGAGCCTCAGCCATAGTAGATGCTTGGTAAGTGCTTAATGATTACTAATCATTAAGAATCACTGCTAGCCTGACTGGTGTGGCATTGGTTGAGCGTAGACCAGCCGTGGGCAAACTACGGCCCGCGGGCCGGATCCGGCCCTTTTGAAATGAATAAAACTATTGAAAAGAAAGACCGTACCCTTTTATGTAATGATGTTTACTTTGAATTTATATTACTTCACACAAACACTCCATCCATGCTTTTGTTCCAGCCCTCCGGTCCAGTTTAAGAACCCATTGTGGCCCTCGAGTCAAAAAGTTTGCCCACCCCTGGCGTAGACCTATGAACCAGGAGGTCACGGTTTCATTCCTGGTCCGGGCACATGCCCAGGTTATGTGCTCGATCCTCAATAGGGGACATGCCAGAAGCAGCCGATCAATGATTCTTTCCCATCATTGATGTTTCTATCCCTTCCTCTCCCTTCTTCTCTGAAATCAATAAAAATATATTTTTAAAAAGCAATCATTGCTATAGGTTGAATGTGTGTCTTCCACTTCCTCCCCCCAAATTCATATGTTGAAAACCCAATGCCCAAGGTGACGGTATTAGGTGAGGCCTTTGGGGGGATGATTAGGTCATGAGAGTAGAGCCCTCAGGAATGGGATTAGTGCTGAAGAGGCCCCAGAGATATCCCTCATCCCTTCCACCATGTGAGAACACAGCAAGATGTCAGCAGTCTGCAACCCAGAAGAGGGCCTTCACCAAAACCCTGCCATTCTGGCACCCTAATCTTGGACTTCCAGTCTCCAAAATTATAAGAAATAAATTTCTACTGTTTATAAGCCACCTGGTCTGTGGTATTTTTTTTTTTATAGCAGCCCAAGCTAAAGTAACTGTGTTTGCCCTTCTGGAAATAATTACGCCCTGGGTCAGGAGACCTGGACTCATCCACTGCCACGGCCCCCATCCTCCCGGTCCTATTTCCTCACCTCTACAGGAGGGAGAGAACCACGTGATTTCCAAAGGACTCTCTGGTTCCTCTGACATCTGGATTCAGTCACTGCAGAAACAGCTGCAATTCTGGCTGAAGTTGGAAGGCGGACGGGTAGAAATGGCCCCTCCCACTCAGGAGAGGCACACCTATGGGCTGCACCTCTGAAGAGGGCGGCAGTGAGGGGAGGGCAGGGAGGGGGCCTGGGGCAATCAAGCAGTGAAGCAGCTATGGGCAGGTGACAGGAGATGAAGCCAACACCTGCTTATGAGTGTCCCCGCACCACTTTACATCACCCAAGCTGGTCCCTTAACCCAAGCCTTCACGTCCCACGTGGTCCCTGGGCAGATGAGCAAGCCATGTGTCTGCTGACTTGGGTTTTGAACCCTGAGGAGCTAATGGGACAGGAAGCCACACTTGGGGCTCTGAGATGATGTCACCCTCATGAGGAGAGGGGCCTCCCACCCTGCTGCTCCCCACCCAGCAGAGCAAAAGGTGCTGCTACCTCTAAGCCCAACTCCCCATCACCTCCTGTTATCAGACTAAAGCAAGAAACCCAGACTGGACAAGAGCCGCAGTGTTAAATGTTTATGTGAAACTCTGTAAATGTATGGAGGGGCCTCAGGTCGCCTGCCCACGAGGCCTGGCCTGGCGGGCCGCGCTCAGCACTTGGTGTAGATGGCTGCACTGCCCCGCTCCTCAAACTCTTCCTTGCTGACCCAGAGCTGCTGGAAGGCCTGCAGGGAGGCCAGGATGGAGCCACCGGTCCACACGGAGTTCTTCCTCTCAGGAGCCGCAGCCACGGTGGGGCTGTCCCCGGGGCACAGGAGGCTCAGCTCCCTCTGGAAGCGCTCGGGGAACCCGGCCAGCATGGTGCAGCCGCCACACAGCAGCACGTTGGCGGCCATCTCCTCCTTCAAGCCCGCCTCCTGGCAGCGGCCCAGGCAAGTGGCTGTGAGCGCGGGGAGGCCGGGCAGGCTGCTGCCCACCAGCGTGGGCTTGAAGAGCATCTCGGCGCACTGGAAGCGCTCGTGGCCGATGGTGATGACCTTGCCATCGGGGAGCTCATAGTCCACGCGCAGCTCCTCCAGGGCCAGGCAGACCTCCTCCTCGGGCTGCAAGGCCGCGTAGCAGCACATCTTCTTGATGTGCTCCACGATGTGCAGGTGGTCGTCCGTGAACTTGTGGCCCGCCTCGTTGAGCAGCTGCAGCAGGTAGTTGGTGAGGTCGCCCCCGGCGTAGTCGGCGCGGCCTGCCAGGCCCGGCAGCACGTTGCCCTCTGAGATGGGGACCACGTGCGAGACGCCGTGCCCGCTCTCCACCACCATTCCTGTGGTCCTGCCATAGGAGTAGATGGACAGCAGCGACTGGGATGTCACGTGCATGGCGGGGATGCCAAAGGTCTCAAACAGGAGCTCCGCATACTTCTCCCGGTTGCTGCTGGGGCTGAGCGGGGGGTCGGAGACCAGCACGGCATGCTCCTCGGGGAGGATCCTCATGGCCGTGTAGAAGATGTACTCCCAGATGCTCTGCACGCAGTCCCAGTCCACCACAACGCCGTTCTTTAGAGGGTTAACCAGCTTCAGCAGTGCCTCCATGTTGAGCAGCTCGTGGCCCACATAGGTATTCTTGCGGGCGTCGCCCATCTGGGAGCAGCTCTTGCCCACGGTGGAGGAGATGAAGTAGGTGGGCCTCGGCTCTCCTGCGTAGCCACACTTACAGTACTGCGAGCCCAGGTCGATGATGAGCGCCTTGAGCCTGCGCACAGACTTGGGCTTCGTCTTCAGCTGAGTGGCTGAACTTCTGTCCCGAATGCCAGTATCTGGAGCTGACAGCGTTCCTGCCTCTCCTGGGTCACCCTGAGCCGTGCCCATGGGCATGGGGCTTGAGCTGTTCCTCGTTGCCATCTGCCTTCCTTGCTCACCTTTCTCGCTTCCACATCCTAGAGCTCAGTGGAGAGAAATGAGGGGCCACCTCCAGCAGTGCCTCAGCGGCCACTCAGGATTGTGATGTCACTGGAGGCTGGTCCATTCCGGCTGTCAGGGAGGTTTGGCCTTGGCACCCATGAGCTGCCATCCCAACCCCTCTGCCTAACTTGACTTTGCTCAGGACCTACTAAGTGGCCAGCACACTGGGGTCTCAGAGGTTTCTGCTCCTACTCCCTTACTTCCCTGTTCCTATTCTCCTACTCACTGACTGGACACCTGTCCTTCCTCTGCTTCTTGGCTGCAAGGGTGATGCATATTTGAGCCCTGACAGTAAGCCAGGCACTGCACCGACACCTCACACGTTATTTCACAGAATCCCACGAGGTAGGCAGAGCTGAGGAAATCGAGGCTCAGAACTCCAATGACTTGCCCATGAACAGACAGCTCTTGGAGTGTTTGTACTTTAACCCAAGTTCATGCAACTTCAATGCATCAAGTCTCCTAAAGAGTGTGAGGGCCCCGACAGCACTTTCATTCCTCCAACATTTAAAGGGGTTGTGGTGGGTCCAGCCCATACAGTCTGCTGGTGACAGATAGGAATTCAGCCACAACCAGAGCCCAGTCTAGGAGGGAAGATGGAATGGATGCAGAGGCGTTTGCAGGTGAAAGTCCATTGGGAGAGCAGAGGTGCACAGAGGGGAGCACTCTTGGGAGGGAGGCAGTCAGAAGGTTCCCTAGAGGTGATGCTTAAGTCGAGTTCTGGAAGATACGTGGGTATCTGTCAGGCAGTTAAGAGGAGGGAAAGGCATCCCCAGCAGAGAGGACAGCCTGAGCAAAGGCTCAGAGGGGGACATGGTGGGGAACTGCCTGTAGTTCAGGTGTTTGGAAAAATGGATGAAGCTAGCAGGGTCATGGAGCCACCCACGGAGGGCTCAAATGCTAGGAGTAGGAGCTTGGATTGCATTGAAGACAGCTGGAAACCAGAAAGACTCCAAGCAGAAAAGTGGTAGATTTAACTTCTAGATAATTTTAGAAAGATCTGTGTTTAGCGATAAAATAAAGGTGCAAAACTCTGAGACCTGAAAAGAGAATTGAAGAAATTCTCATAAGACTCGAAGGTGGCCTAAACTAGGGCTGTGATAACGTGGAAGAGAACAAGGGACAGGTTCTAGAAACGTTTAGAAAGTAGAATCTAATCTAACTGGTTGGTTCCCCAACTATCCTCAATTCAATCCAAGCTCTTACTCTAGCATTTGAGGCCTTCTCTGGTTGGCTCCTGTGCCATCTCTAGCCTCACAACTGCATTACATTAGATTATCAGATCAGATGTGAAGACTGAGGAAGAAAGAATAATGCCCCCCCCCCCCCAAATGTCCACATCCTTAATCCCTGGAACCTGTGACTATGTATGTTACCTTTCATCTGCAAAGAGGACTTTGCAGATGTGAGTTAAGGGGTTTGAGATGGGGAGGTTAACTACCCTTTAGTACCCAGGTGGTCTCAAAGGAATCACAAAGATCTTAATAAGATAAAGACAGGAGGGTCAGGTCAGGTCAGGTTGGAGAAGATGTGACAAGGAAGCAGAAGTCGGAGAAGTCTTTGAAGATGAAGGAAGGGGCCACAGGAAATAAATGAGCCCCTAGAGCCTCCAGAAGAACAGGGCTCTGCACACACCTTGGTTTTATCCCACTCAGACTAACTGTGGACTTGTGACCTCCATCTCAGAATTATAAGATAATAAACTTGTGTTTCAAGCCATTAAATTTGTGATCATTCATTACAGCAGCAATAGAGGCCCCACCAGAAACCCAGGACAGTGAAATGTGCTAAGCAGCTACAGATTTCTCAAAATTCAAGAGGGGGGTTGAGGAGAAGGAAAACAGATCATTCTGGGTCAGGGGTGGGCAAACTTTTTGACTCAAGGGCCAAAATGGGTTCTTAAACTGGACCGGAGGGCTGGAACAAAAGCATGGATGGAGTGTTTGTGTGAACTAATATAAATTCAAAGTAAACATCATTACAAAAAGGGTACGGTCTTTTTTTTTTTTTTAGTTTTATTTCAAACGGGCTGGATCCGGCCCGCGGCCCATAGTTTGCCCACGGCTGTTCTAGGTTAAACATGCTTTATCATGCAAGTTCTTCTGAAATAAAGTCAAACTATCCAAGTTGGCCATGGAAATCCCTGAATAGCAGAAGCAAGTAAACTATTTTTCAGGTAGCCAGGCATTCAGAAATGCACTTTTCTATCCTTTCAAAATTCTATGCTTACACCCTCTACTCAATGAACTAAGAAGCCGAGATTTTGTTTCTGAGATGACAGTTTAGTCACCTCCATCAGGTAGTCATAAGGCTCATAAGACTGGACTCGGTCCTTTTCTTCACACACAGCCCACAAAGAGCCAAGAACACCCCAATAACCGTCTTAAAGGAGAAAGCCCACCACTGTAAAGACAGCCTCTTTTATGAAAAGCATGTGGCTGCACAATATAAGGTTAGATTCTGGGTACCTTGAGGGTGGCAGGTGGCAGCACCAACATGTCCAGCTTCAGAGATAGCATGGGAGACCTATGTCGGGTCCCATCAAGGTGTGTCCACAGCACACTCCTGGGAAGAAGTCGTAGTTAGGAGCTTGGCCACGGCTGGCTAGATCATCCTTGGGTGAATTACACACCTAAGAGCCTCAATGTTGTCATCAGTGGGACTCTGTAGGGTCAAATTTCATTGCTGAACCAAAGACCCACATGAAGGATAAATATGTGTACAAATATGTGTCCAAAAATAATTCCTCTGCAGATTGTCCCAAGGAACATATGAGACATAAGCTCTTGGTACAATCACCACAACAGCAATTATTTCTGCTAAAATCTAAGTCAGATGGTGTCAACTCCCTGCTCAAAATTCTCTACTGTTTTCTGACCTCATGCAGAACCAGAGCAAAGTCCTAGCACTGGCCCACGAGGCCCAATGTGAGCTGCTGGCCCTCCCTACCCGCCTAGCTCCTCCATCTCATGTACAGCTCCTCACTCTCTCCACTCCAGCCACACATCTTTTTGGGATCTTCTAACTTGGGGGCTGACAAGCTTTTTCTGTAAAGGGCCACGTGGTCAATATTTACTTTCTACTTTGCGAGCCATTGCAGTCTCTGTTGCCATGACTCAACAAACGCAGCCATAGACAAGTGGCTGTGCTCCAATAAAAATTTACAAAGACAGCTCCAGGCCCTAGTGTGCTGACCCCTGCTCTAACGCATCAGACACACGTCTGCTTCCAGTCCTCTACATCTGCCACTCGGATATGCACACGGCATTCTCCCTCACTTCCTGCAGGTCTTCACCCAGTCACTTTCAGGGAGCCCTGCCCAGACACAACACAGCCACCCTCCCCATCCCCTTTCCCTGCTGTTTTTTCTTTTGCCCTTAACATCTTCATATACTTACATATATATATAGTGTCCCCCCAAAATGTACACACACTTTAACAGTTGATAGCTCAATTTTGAAAATGAAATGTATGTTAATAAACAGGACCTTTGTTTTATATATATAATTTGCTTATTGTCTGTGTCTCCACAACTCCCACTGATTAGCATATAAGTTCTAAAAGGGCGGGTAATTTTCTTTTTCTTAATCTGCCTTGTATTTTCAGCTGCCTGAACACTGCAAGCATTCAATAAATACTGACGGGATGACTCAGGTGTAGTACAAAATCGAGAAAAGGGTAAATCTCCATAAAACACTACCCAAATCAACCCTACATTGGGATAAAGTTTCCCAGAATCTAGAAAGCCCCAGGTCACTAGTTACATCATAATTGGTGATGTCATCATTGGGGACATTCTCAAGTTGCCCTCTGATTTCAGCCTTTCTGACCTTGAAGCCCGTGGGATCAAGGAACTTTCTGAGAGCGAGATGGCTCTTGCTCGCCTGTGGGCTCCGCAGGCAGGGATCATAGGGGATGGGCCTGGCAAGGGGAAGGGCGAACAGGCCTCCCTGAACACAGAGGCCCTCCAGACGGCCTCCCTAAAATGTGGTCCAGCGAAGCGTGCGGTGTGGGTCCACCAGAACCGCTTGGAGCCAGGCGAGCCTACGAAATCAGCAGAAGCCAGGGAGAAGCCCCAGGTAAAGGTGACCAAAGCGGTGGTTGTGGACCTCGGCACTGGCTACTGTAAGTGCGGCTTCGCTGGGCTGCCAAGGCCCACCCACAAGATCTCCTCGACAGTGGGCAAGCCCTACATGGAGACCACCAAGACTGGGGACAGACGCAAGGAGACCTTCGTGGGGCAGGAGCTCATCAACCCGGAGGTTCGTCTCAAGTTGGTGAATCCCCTGCGGCACGGCGTCATTGTGGACTGGGACTCGGTGCAGGGCATCTGGGAATACATCTTCCATAAAGAGATGAAGATCGCCCCAGAGGAGCACGCGGTCTTGGTTTCAGACCCACCGCTGAGCCCACACACCAACCGAGAGAAGTACGCCGAGATGCTGTTTGAGACCTTCAGCACTCCTGCGATGCACATCGCCTACCAGTCCCGCCTGTCCATGTACTCCTATGGAAGGACCTCCGGCCTGGTCGTGGAGGTGGGCCACGGCGTGTCCTACGTGGTCCCCATCTACGAAGGTTATCCTCTGCCCAGTATCACGGGGCGGCTGGACTATTCGGGCTCTGATCTGACCAACTACTTGATGGGCCTGATGAACAGTTCGGGAAAACACTTCACCGAGGCCCAGAAGGGCATTGTGGAGGACATCAAGAAGAAATGCTGCTTTGTGGCCCTGGACCCCATCGAAGAGAAGAGAGTCCCAGAGACGAGGCATATGATCCCGTACACCCTGCCGGATGGGCAGCAGATATACCTGGGCCAGGAAAGGTTCCTCTGCTCCGAGATGTTCTTCAAGCCTTCCCTGATCAGGTCCATGCAGCTGGGCCTCCACACCCAGACGGTGTCCTGCCTGAACAAGTGCGACATCGCCCTCAAACGGGACCTCATGGGGAATATCCTGCTCTGCGGGGGGAGCACTATGCTCAGGGGTTTCCCTAACCGTCTGCAGAGGGAGCTGAGCAGCTTGTGTCCCAATGACACCCCCCAGGTAAACGTGATGCCCGAGAGAGAGACTGCAGTGTGGACGGGTGGCTCCATCCTCGCATCGCTCCATGGCTTCCAGCCACTGTGGGTCCACCGCTTTGAGTATGAGGAACATGGGCCTTTCTTCATCTATAGAAGGTGCTTCTGAACGCGGATGAAGCATGGTTGCTCTGGCTGCCAGGTATCGGCTTTGCTGGGGGAGCACCCACCCCACACATAGGCCCAGCACGTTCACTCCGACAGCATTAAACACTCCGTTCCCCTCCACAGTGTGTCTCTTGATTTCCTGACTTAACGAGAACTCCATACATGCAGCTCTGCCTTAAAATATACATTTGCCAACACAAAGGGGGAGGCGGGGGGTGGAGGGACTAGCTCTAAAATGGTGCTGTCTCTTATTTTGTGTATTTCCCACTTTAGGAACTACTGTATTGTTAAGATCTGCTTGGAAGGGGAAGTATGATGCCAGATTATATGCTGTTGTGACATATAAGATCCCCCGTTTTTATTGACAGCATTACAGATGTCCCCCATTTCCCCTTTTGCCTCCCTCCACCCAGTCCCTGCCCCATCGCAGGCCTTCATTGCACTACTGTGTCCGTGGGCTATGCATATATGCACCTAAGTTCACAAAGATCCCTTCTGATGAACACCAATAGGAAATATGCTGTCAAGGTTCAGCCTCCCACAAAGCACCTAAACACCAGTGTCCGGCCTCCAGGAGGGGATCACAAGAGTCGCTAGCATTATCTTATAGACTTTTCTCTCTTACACAAAAGCCCAAAAGTCTTACTATGGTCTTGAGTGTCTGTAACCCCCACCGTCCCCACACCCCCATCCCACAAAGGCACACCTTCAAGCACTCACAGGAGAGCTATGGCATCTCTACCACCCCCAGGGAGAAGTTCTCCAGAACCACCCTCCGAGCCTCCAGGTTTGCCTAGACACTCCTAATAGACCCGCAGGGCAGACCCTGGGTCCCGGCCTGGTGAGGAAGCACTGCTGGCTGGCACCAGCAAGCTGGAGTAAGAGCAGCAGGTAGCCCCCGAGGGGCACCTGGAGTGCCTACAGTTCAGCAAGGATGACAGCCTTACCCTGCAGTATTGGGAATCAGCTAGGAGTTGGGTACACTGACATGAGAAAAAGCTATGTCCTACTCACGTCAGTTTCTGCCCAAACCACTCACATGTCAACACTGCATGAACGTTCACTGATGGGCGGGTTGAAGTTTGGTTAATTCTTAAGCAACCTTTGGACCTCTTTGGCAGGGTGATAACGCCTATGTACCCTTCTCTAAGTAATATTTTTAAATGCATAAAATAAAATAGGATCACAGAGGAAAGCAATCATATAGAAATACACTCTCTTCAAATCCTGTAAGGGTCGAGTAACAAAAGTCAAGAACCCCAGAAACTGAGGGTCTTGATGAAGGGGAGGCAGGGGAGGTAGCTCTGGAGGATGGGACTCTCCAGGCCTCCCTAGGCCTAAACATTATGCTGTATTTTAAAATGAAAAAATGTAAGGTTAAACAACTGCATAGTCTTTTCCAAAGCACTTTTATGAATCCTCCTTACACAATCCGCCTTGTAGAAAAAAAGAATCCTCCTCATAAAGAGGTGAATACTTGCCCTAACCAGATAGAGCGTCGGCCTGTGAACTGAAAGGTCCCAGGTTCGATTCCGATCAAGGGCACATGCCCGAGTTGTGGGCTAGATCCCCAGTGGGGGGCTTGAAGGAGGCAGCTGATCAATGATTCTCTCTCATCATTGATGTTTCCATCTCCTCTCCCTCTTCCTTCCTTTCTGAAATCACTATTTTTTTAAAAAAAGAAAGAGGTGAATACTTTTACTAAGTATTTGGAAATCATCTTAGACTACTGGTTCTCAAACAGGGGCAACTTTGACCCCCACAGGGCATTGGCAATGTCTGAGATGTTTTTGGTTGTCCTAACAGGAGTGGGGAGTATGAAATACTGGCGTCTAGGGAGTAGAGGCCAGGGATTTGTTTAAATAACCTATAATGCACAAGACAGCTCCCTACAACAAAGAATGATATGCCCCAAAATGTCAAAAGTACCAAAGCTAGCCAGGCCAGGTGGCTCAGTTGGTTGGGGTGTCATTCTGTAAACCACACAAAAGTTGTGGGTTCAATTTCTAGTCAGGGCACAAACTTGGGTTGGGGCATGAACTTGCTTTGGGACACAAACCAAATTGGGGGGAAGAGCTATATACTCTTTTCTAAAACTTCACGGAGTCTTTCCCCAGAGGGAGGCATTCACCACTCCCAGGAGTTCCTCCTGGTCCCATACTGCATTCCTCAACTTTACCTTGAATTTGGAAGGTCTGCTCCCGCCTGCTACTTCTCAAAGTGAACAAAATTCCATCTTGCTCCGATGAGAGAAATAGTAATTGATAGTAAACTGAATTGAAAGAATTCACACAAATTCTTTCTTGTTGCTTCACTACATTATTTTAAGAAAACTGACCATCCACGAAATCACCATTATCAAAACACATTTACTTGTATTTCCAAGCCATTGGCAAGTCCCTTTACTATTACCCATACCAAGAGCACTGGAACTTATTAAAATGTCATAGCAGTTATCATGCTCATTTATCCATGCCAAAGGGGAGACACAAAGCACTTTTAGCCTTTCAGTGTTGAGAACTTAATTACAGCAAATCCATATGGGTATGCACCAAAAAGCCAATTTCTCCTAAGCAGGATATACATTATCTTTATCTCTTCTTTTTTATTTTGTGAAAATATTCAGACACACAGAAAAGTTGAATTACACAGGGAACACACCTAGATTCTACAGCTAACATTTTGCTATATTAAGAAAAGTCTGAAATTATAATTCTGGATATACCTATACTCAGAATCAAAAGCAGCATTTCCAGTTAGTTTATGTATAGTGATGAAGATCTGGGTCTGGCACTAAAGGCATGGAAGAAATTTTTAATCTTACCTAAGAGCCCCAAAACTAGCATCAACATGACATGAGCTTTTTCTAGACTGACCAAGAAGAGAAAATATTCTCAGTTCTTTCAAAGAAAATAACTAAAAGATAGAGGTCAGTTAGGTACTATACAGAAAAAAAGAAATGAAATGGTCTAGACACTGACAAAAACATTTTGTTAAAAGATGCAGTATTTGGAGAAAAAGGAGTAACTCACAACCGTACATGCCATCTGATGAATACTGCTCACCATAACAAATTGCATGATGTGTTTCAGAAATTCTACTCTGTTCTGCTAAGTCTGTAGCAGAAAACTCACAGGCAGTGAAAACAGTCCTTGTGGACACTGTAGTGATGGAAGGCTTACCCCAGTTATAACTGGGAGCACATAATCAGGTTAGATACTGCAAAATAACAGCTGTTAGCAGGGAAAAGCTTTGTATTTCAGAGGATACAGCTAGCTTTTCATTCTGCTCTAGTTCAATGTGAAAAAGCCATTGAAGTGACGAAATGTGACTAACTGTTGGTAGCACTAACAGCCATGTTGTTGATAAACAATGCTCTCTTCCAGGAACATAAAGCAATTTAAAAACATTTCTTCACATGTTTGAGGTAGAAACCATGAAACATTATTCTCAATGAACTGAGGCACAAATTAATTATGTGACTTGTCTAAGGTCCCAATATGACTTAGACCTGCAACTGGGCATGAAACCCCAGCTCCTGTTTATCATAAATACCAGAAATATGCTCTCAAAAAACACTAAATAAAAGAACACTAAACCTAACAAAATGATGCTATGTTGACTAAAGATTAAAGTTTAGTGAATTAAAACTCTATGCAAAATAAAAGAAAATAGAATTGTGTGGTGTGTGCAGAGGTCTGCTGCACGGAGCAGCTCTCGGCAATGCGAAGGTAGATCATAGTCTTCCCTTTCCCGGGTCTCGGCAGCCAGGCCTGGAGGACTGAAGGTGAAAGAAAACGTCTTCTCTGCCGAGGCCTCCCAACGAGGAGCCGTCACTCCAACAGGCTCAGTTTCCACTGGGTTCTTTTGTTGATCATCGGTGGTATCAAAAACTCAGCATCTAATACAAAGGAGAGAGATGGTGACAGGGCACATTCTTCTTGGTGGTGGGAGCTGAGGCAGTAACTCTAATCTAAAACTGGGCCACTACAAGACGACCATCAGAAGCGAGTTCATGTTTCTGTAACCTTCCAACCTCGATCAGAGCAAATGCAGCGGGGGGATTTCATTACAACTCCAGGCACATGGGGGAGTAGCAGGTAAATGCCCACCGAGTGATTCCAAGTGAAAGAAGGTCTTATATTTCAAATGGGTGGTGGTCACAAGGCCATCAAACTATGTCCACCTAAAATCTGTACATTTTACTCTACGTAAAATTTACCTCAACTGTAAGAGTCAAGAAACATGGGGCATGTATTCAATGAGTAAAGATACTGCACAGAAAATACTTTATGATAAAAAAAATTCTACAAGCACACTGACAGATAAAAATGTCCCTACTTAAAAAAAGTGTGTGCGTGGGGGGGGAATAGGTGAGGGAGCATTGTCATTGTTAGATGAAACTCCCAGACCCTTTTCCAGTTAGATTTGTGGAATCTATTAAATAAGTATCATATACAGGAAGCAGAGATATAAGAAATGTCTATTAAAAGATTTTCTATCTTAGCAGGATTCGTGATAAACTTCCAACAGTACATCTGCACATATGAGCCATTCAGACATTAAAACTTATTTTCAAAAATGTTTAACAATGTGAGAAAAATGCTCAAGAACGTTTTTAAAAACATGGTTTCATATTATACAAAATATATGTATGTATACACATGACTAGAAATCATCAAATTTTAATTTTCTTTAATATATTTTTCTGTACAACCCAGACTTCCTCTACTAATCATATCATTTTTATAATTTCACACAGAATTACTGCTCTCTACTCCCCCAAACAAAAACTATATAGATACAAAGACCATAAAAGGTTTTACTCATTTAAGAATAGATATTGGAAAAGGCTACTTAAATAAGTTCATTGTCAACAAGGCCCATAATTTCATGTTTAATAGTGATTAATAAACTTTGACCTAGATTTTACCTATTTTTTAAAGAAGAAAAAAGTTATGAAAATATATTCTATCTTTAATAAGATAGAATTATCATATTATTATCTTTAATAATAACATTTAACTTAGGCATTACAGTAATATTTGATTCCTAGACTTAACTGAGAACAAATACCAAGTATTGAATCTGGAGGAAAATAATTACACTGACAAAGTGTATGACAGCAGGACATGATGACTTTCACGTTTGAATTTCACAGCAACTTTTACAAAAATACACTGAAGGCTTTATCAATTTTTCAAAGGATTTCTCTAAATTATTTGAAAGTCAAATCACTCTCATTTGAAGCACTTATTTTGTTATCAATTTTAACAAGTTCAACTAAATTATGACTTAAGCACTCCTCCGGTAACACTTGAATCCATTTTATAAAATCGTGACCTTTTGCAACACTTGCAATCGATCTGCATGATGTTACACTGTGTTGCAAACATGAAACAATCAGAGAAAATGCCCCACTGGTCCCACTGGGATGTACGAATGTACTTAACCAGTACTGTTAGCTGGAGAGGACTCGTTGACAAATATTTGAGTGGAACTACTTTTGAGAGTAGTTCATCTTCTCTTTTCCTACATAATCTTGTAGCCACAAGGACATAGACAATACTCATATAATGAGGAGCCTCAAACTGCTCAGCTGGAAAGGGAAGTGCTCTGCAAGGAGCACCACCTAGACTACTCCAGGGAAGGGGTGACTGACGTGACCTGCAGGTCAGCATCAGGACGGCAAGAAGGAAAATGTGACAGAAATTACAACTGGATTAGTCACAGTACAAACTAAGTAATTACTAAACTGCCTCAGGTCTAAGATGAATTTGTAACACCTCAGAAATAAGTATGCTTTGGGATCGATACCAAAAGCAACTTGCCAGGAATGCAGTGGTACTATCCATATACACATGCTTATTAGCTGGGTTGAAGAGTAGTTAGTGGTTCATTCCTGGTAGCAACATACGCCAAGTTAAACTTAATTTGAATCCTCGCAGGCTACTTCAAATGTTATCAAAATGCTATTATAGTTCGGCATTTAACTGAAAAATTTTCGGACTGCTGCCTGTCACATGCTAGAAAATATAATAAAAACTGCCATTCTAAACATATCTCTAACCTTTCAAAGCTAAGAGATTGGTATCCTTGATTAATCCACCTGAAAGGCAAATATTCAGGTACCAAATCGATATGTCAAAAGTTTCCATTCAACTTTCAAAAGAAAGCCTTTAGGACTTTTAACTTGGATGGATATGTAATCTAACTGAGAATCACCTCCCCCCATCAAACAAAATATCCTATATAATCCTATATAATAAAAGAGAAACATGGTAATTGGCGTACGGCCGCTACCCTTTTCATTGGCTAATCAGTGAGATATGCAAATTAGCCGACAGCCAAGGTGGTGGCTGATTTGCATATGTCAGCCCCAAGCCTCAGACTGAAGCTTTAGGCTGGGG